AATATTGGAAAATTATTACAACTACAGCAGCACAAATTTGGAAAAATAAAGGTGGTGATAAAAAAACTTGTGATCGTATATTAGCACAAATACGTAATTATGAATTAAAAGTTGATCCTTATAATCAAGAGTTTGACAAACAAATTGAAACACAAATGAGTTGGTGGCTTTCAATAAAGGATAAATATAATTATCTTTGTGAATTAGCAATTATGATATTTTCTATTACCCCTCATAATGCAGGATGTGAAAGGATTTTTTCTACTCTTGGTTGGTTATATGGAAAAAGACGGTAATGTTTAGGACTTTTAAAAATTGAAGCAATGGCAAAAATTCGTTTTTTTTATATTCAAATATAAAAAATGAGCTTGCTTATATTGGATAACAACATTCAGAAGATGAGTTACATAAAATGATTGAAGATTCAACATTTTTACAATTTGAGAAAGATGAGGAAGAAGAAGAAGAAAATAACAATATAGCTTTAAAAATTCCAACCCATGAAGTTCGTGTTTTAATAATTGAACAATTATTTGATTTAAAAGATATTGATATAGCAAATAATGAAAATAATGATAATTCAAGTAATAGTGAAAATGATAATAGCGATAATAATAGTTATTCAGATTCAAATAGTAGTGATGATAATAATGATTATGATATTGAATTATTAACAGAAAAATATTTACTTAATAATGATAGAGAAATATTATAATAATTTTTTCAAATTAGCTTTATTTTTTGTAATTTTTTTAAAGACAGATAATTTTTTTTATAATAATATTAGTAATATAAATATTTTTTTTTTCTATAGCATATAAATAATAATAAACAATTATAATGAATTTAAAAGTACATTTAATTATTTTTTAATATTTTTTTTTATTTCGTCAATTTTGTCAATTTCAGTTTCAGTTTCAGTTTCGGAAAAATTTCGTCATTTTAAAAAAAAAACCGAAATATTTCAGATTTAAAAAATAATTTCGTCCAATATCATTATCTGAGACCAATTAAATGTTTCAAGATCTTCTCGTTTATTTTTTAATTTATTTGCTCACTCTTGATTTCATTTTTGGATATTTGCAATATTACGTAGACGTTACTAATTTCATTCCATTTTTACTTATATTAGTAAGATCCTGATTTGATAAAATAATATTACATGCTAAATAAGTCACATTTATCATTTTGTAAATTCCTTCATTGTTATGTAAGATTATGAGAGCATGTCTTACTGAATATGATTTTCAATAGTCAATTCTTTTATCAAGATAAACCAATTTAAGTTGATTAAATGCTTCATTTTGTGATGAACACATTTTTGTACCAATGCCTTAGTTAATAGGAAGACGAAAGATTGTTTCTAATATTGATTTGAATTTTTTACATTGATAAGGAGTACAGTCAACCCTTGATATAATGAATTTTATGTCCTGAACTTCAACTTCGCTATAGAGCTATAGTGAATTTTTTAAAGAATTTGATTGGCTAGTTCGTTATAATGAGGGTAAATTTAATATAGTTGTCCAAAAAATTCGTTATATAAAAATTCGCTATAGAGAGGTATAACTGTATAGGATTTGAGAGTAGGTTCTGAAAGCTGCAGTTCAGGATTATTCTTTATCTAACAGACTTCTGACCAGCATAATTCATGATTATCACAAAGATGTTGAAAAAAGACCTTTTGTCTATACATAACGAATGTCTTTTTCTTGTATAGAGCAATTTTCATCATTACTTTTTTGAATACCTGCTGCATATACACAGCTCGTAAAATAAAGCATAATGTGTTTCTTAAAATCACACATCTGGTAGACCTTCATATGTTCTTAAAAATCCGGAACTATATGATCAGTTACATACATGTATAGAGTTTAGTTCAGCTGATAATTGACGAAGAAAAGAATGAATTAAAGTTCATACAATTTCATATCTTTGTACAGTTATAGAAGAAAATTACAATCAATATATGTCAAAATCTAGTCTTCAAACATATCTTTTACCACATCACCCAAATTCTATTCAAGCAAAATGACATCATTACTCAGCTCTTATTAGAAATGTTGCAGTATCTAGAAATAAAATGAATCTGCATGAAGATGGTTATTATTGTTTAGCATCTGTAAAAAGTGCTAGACAATTTGCAGAAGCTTTTTCTGAATATTCAATTATTATATTACAAGATGATAAAGCTAAAGTACCTTTAGAAATTCCAGTAGTAAGTTGTATTTTTTCAACAGTTCAATCACAAAATAAACCAGTATCTATTTCTGATCATGATTTTCCAGTATCTTCAAACACAAATTAATTCCTTCGGTATATCTTGTAATTGATCCAACTGATACAATGAATCAATAAGATCAGAAAAATTAGCAGTTTTTATATGATCAGAATTATGGATATCAACATCAGCTTCAAGTCATATATTTGATTTACAAAAAATTCAACAACTTCAAAGTTTTCAATCATCTTTTTTGAATAATAATAAAATGCATTATCCAATTTTAGTTCTTTTGGTAGATAGAAGACCTGATGAAAATTCACGTCATTTAAAAAATATAAAACAATATTGTAAATATTTTTGTGATACAAATTTAGATTATATAACAATTTATACAAATGCATCAGGACAATCAGCATATAATCTTGTAGAATGAAGTATGGCTTCTTTATATAAAAAACTTGCTGAAATTACACTTCCTTACGATAAATATGGTAATCATTTACGAAATGGAAAAATAATTTAGCATTTTGGAATTTTGCTTATTCTGGAGAAATTTTATATGAGTTATAGAAAAAGGATAATATTAATGGTCATCCTGTATATACTGAATATATTTCAAAGGATATTATAACAGAAATATCAATTTCATGGCTTTGGATAGAAACTTATACTCAAATTTGTCATTACTCTCTTGATATTCGTAAATGTAATAATTTACAATATTGTAAACCAAAACATTGTGAAGCAGCAGCCATATTATTAAAACAAAATAATGGGTTTTTCTATCTGTTTTTAAAGGTCGGAATAATCATTTTTTGAATCCAATTCATATTCTTGAATATTTTAATATATTAAATATTCCTAAATATGATTAGCATTGTCCTTCTATACCTTCCGAGTTGTATCAACGATTATGTTGCAATTTATGTAATAAATATTTTCCAACTTTATCTTTTATAACTAAATATAAAAAAGCAATTCATACACAATATCGTAGACTTAATACAAAATATATTCAAAATTCACGTACTTATAAAGATATTTCAAATTATGTTCCTTTTGAAGAAATTGTTTTAGATTTTTGAAATGTGTTATCTGATTTTGAATAATATAATTTTATAATAAATAAATAAAATTTTATAAAATTTTACTTGAATAATTAAATAATATATAAAATTACTATATATAGAAAGTGATTAATAAACATATTCTTCCCTCCCCTTTTCTAATCATGTGATTTCTGACCCTCCCTTACTTTAGCTGACTCTATAATCTTTTCATAAGTTATAGATTAGTAATCATGATAAAAAGCTTTACAAAGTTGTGATATAACTCTTGCACACATAACAGTCATTTGTAATGATTGTCTATTTATTCCATCAACTAAACTTGCAGTAGTGAAGCAAGCATTGAAATTTACTTCTGTGATTCATTAGAATATTCTTTAATCGTCTTACAAACTTGACATTTGATAAGTACTTTTGTAAAGAGTCTTGCTGTTGAAACATTCCATTTTTTGTAAATAACTTATTTTTCTTCACAAAAATCACAAGGCTGTTGTAATACTAAAGAAAGATATTGCTCAGTGTTTATCAATAGTGTTGAGCTAAGCAATTCATTTTTTATGGAGTCTTGAATTGTTAAAGCTAATAATTCATCATCATTATTATCATTTTTTTTCTCCATATCATCAAGATAATGATCACATTGTACTTTTAGCTGTTTAATTTGCTGATTAGCATTATATAGTTTGTTTTTTGTATGCTTATGTTCAGACAATACTATATAAAAACTTTCAGAGCTTACTGGTTTATATTACTGGTTATGTGTATGTCTTCACAAACTAATTTACCTGTTGGAGTTGATTGTAACTTTAATCGAAAGCGTTTTCCTTTTTTTCCAATTGTTCTAATCATTTTTTTGTCATTTCTTGTGCTTTAGTAAAAGCTTGCAATTCAGGATATAGTTCAGGATATATTTTGTGTACTGCAACTAAGGTTGCTTGTCTAAACTCATTTTGGATTTGGCAAAACGGTAAAACCTTTAGTTTTGCTAAATTTTTACTA